ATCAGTTTAATGACGTCACTGATGACAAAGTTACCTTTAAGGCCGTGGCTAAAGTAACAAAGGTGTTACTATAATTATTTTTTTTAAGTAACATCAATTCAATGTTGTCACTGATGAAAACGTTACTTTTAATAGGAGTTAATAGTAACGGAGGTGTACTCTAATTATTTTCTTGAAGTAACGTCAATATAGCAATATGTAGATAGGTAATTACTTTCTTTAGCAATTTAAAGTAAAGGTGATATTCTTGGTTCTTGGCATTTGTTTTAGAGTAAAAATGGAAATAAATAAAAAATAACCTGACTTGACTTTGAAGAATAGAATAGAATACTTATAAAATAGGCACAATTATAGGCAAGGCAGGAAAGACACATTTTCTTATGACTGTCAGAAAGTGACAATTTGTTACCTTTTTTTCAGGTAGGAGAATAGTAATTTCGACTCCCTATGGAGGAAAGTAAATTATTTTCCTTCCTAGGCAGAAGTTTTTTCGCTGTAGATTATCATAGTTTTAGCTCCAAATTAAGAAATTACCTATCTTCATTTGCTGAAAAAAAATGCTTGAAGTTGATGGCCATTATTTTATACCGCTAATGATTAAAAATGGAAAACTGAATTTTCACTTTGCACACTCATAAAAAGGTAAACAATCGAATTTCACCTGCAGGAGAGAACTATACCTACACTCCCGTTCCTTTGCAAGGGCATGTGAGGAATAGGAATATGGAGACGCCGTTTTTCTCACAAAAGATTTGTATTATCAATATGTTGATTCAAATTTTTGGTTTATAAAAAATAAAATATTATTGTTATGTTGTTGAATATCACCTTTACTTAGTTTAAATTGCTAAAGAAAGTACCTACCTTTCTTTACATCAGTGAAGTCATTGAACTGATGTTACTTTAAAAAAATAATTATAGTAACACCTCTGTTACTTTAGCCACGGCCTTGTTTTAAAGGTCTAAAATTATCCAGATTTGAATGTGACTCTCATCATTTTGATGAAAACCTCATTTGATCGGGTAAATGTGATTTAAAATCGATTTTTTTACAAATGGAATAATAGCATGAATATTTTTGAAGAAATCATCAAGATTTTTGTTTTTTGAACCTCTTTCCTGACAGTGTTCACCTCCTCAAGAGAGCAAAGTTGTTAACTCGAAGCATGCACCATTTTGTGACAATTTAAATTTGTATCTAGATAATTTTTTTGCAGATTTGTTTAGACAATTAAAAAACCTTTCAAACAAACTATCACATGAGCCATGGTGCCATTTAAGATTTTGAGGTTAGGGTAGCTACGGCCGGAGGGGTGATTCAGGGAAACCTGAGAAGTACCTTGTATTGGTTCCCCCTTCCAACCCTCCAAACAGGTTTTTCATTTTTTTTTTATCGATTACCGTTTTCAAAATATAGGCCATTGACAGTTTTCGGTGGGACACCCGGTACCTAATTCAATGCACTCATCTTTAATCCGATTATTCACCAATACCTCTGGATTGCCGCTGACAAAGGAAGGGGCTAGCGTATTCAGCAGGACTGTCAGTCAATCTGTCTTATCTATGTATTTGACTCCGTTCACTATATTGTTTGAAAATTTCTTAACTACCCTCCAAACATACTTACCCGATTGCTGATTCTCTACTAAGTGTTTCTGTAAACTTTCAAAAGCCATCTTTCTTTTTTTGCTTCAGGATTCGTCTTGTGCAGCTGCCAACTTGTATTTTAGATAATTTTCTAAGGTTATGCATCTCAAATACATTCTCATCGCCTCTTGTCTTTCAACTGTTATTCTGTTACAATCTTCATTATTCTGTTACAATCTTCATCCCACCAAATTGGCTTCGGGGTATAATTGTTTTTTCTTGACGCTGAGACTCTTGGGATCGCTTCTTCCACTGCCTGATGGATTATATCAGTAAATGCCTGATAACTTTCTTCAATTTTTATCCCCATGACTTGGCATCTTTGGTTGAAGTTATTATTCATGTTACATTAGTGTGGGGTATGCCTTCTTTGATCAAGATAGCAATACCCATTTGAACATCCGGGTTTTCGTTATTTATTGAGATAGTCAAATCGCTGAAGTTTCTTAAAACACTCCTAAATTTCATTGGATTATTTTCATGTTGGGTTTGTTCATAATAAAATTCATCTACATTAGCGTTTGCATCTTCCAAAAAGTATTGTTTGTCTAAATCGTGATCGGATCCCCCAGATTCCTGGGTTGCATTCTGGATTTCTTCCATAATTACATCTTTCAACTCCTGGGTCAAAGCTGTCTTGTCAATAAGTTGTTTTACAACCTCTCCAATATTGATGTTAGGTGCAACGAGTAGGTACCACCAACTGGCGAGCCTTTCCTTGTACTCCTTTGAGTAGGCGTTCTAGCAGGAGCAGTAATCAGATTTTTTTGTGCATTTCTCTGTCGTACCCTGGCGAACAGGGATTTTTTCCTTTCAGGTTACATGCAGCTGAAGCATATATGATGGTTTTCTAGGAGTCATATGGGTTGATATGTATAAATGTCTCTGATTCACTTCAATTGGTCTACTGACTTCTGAATCTCTTCTTGTAGGATTCAGAACTGGAAAATCTCTATGATCCAAGTTCTCTCTGTGTCTTATTTTTCATTTCCTTACGGGTGTGTAAACTACTACAATGATAACAGAAAACATCTTCTATTTTGAAGCAAGGAGTAATCCTTGCTTCAAAATAGAAGATGTTTTCTGTTATCATTGTAGTTTTGATTGCTTTTCGTCTCAGGTCACAGCACTGATGTCATAGGCGTATCCAGGGGGGGGGCTGCCGGGCCGCAGCCCCCCCCCCCCCAAGGCAAGTCTAGACTTTTTTTTTCAGCGTATTTTATTGACATGTGAAGATTTTGTATAAAAAAAATAGAAATAAAATTTATTTCTTTCCATAATTTTTTTTTTTTATGGCGGGCGCCTAATGCAGCAAAGGAAACAGTGCTTCATCTTAATCATCTTGAATGTCCGAAATACTTCCTTTCTCAGGGGCCCAAATCTCGTCTCAGGGAGTAGAGCAATAGAACACATGTTTTGTCTTTGTCAACGTAATCGGAAATTAAAAGAGAATGATAAAGACGTAAAATGTTTTCTCTCGGGGAGCTCTACTCCCTGAGACAAGAATCGGACCCGCTACTTATTCTTGGAACCAGTGTCTTCATGAGAACGATTTCTCTATCTTTCTCAATGATATGCAAATGATAATATGAGTAACACAGACGGAATAGTTATTCTTATGGGAATACTGCTCCCCTGTTTCAAGAATAAGGGCAGGAGAGAAGGTGCCCATGAACAAAATTTCTCCTCCTTACCAAAAAAAGCGAATAAGTGACCTGATGCGAAATTTTTTATCGCCCCGCAAAAAAAAGGCGCGTAATACGATTCTTTGGCGCGTAACATTTGGGTATATATGTTACAGGTGAATTCCTGACAAAAATAGGCAACTTTCACATTTTTAAATTAATCTGTTAGTCATTCTGATAACATCTGCATACTTTTTTTCCAAAAAAAAATCCAATTTCCAAACTGCTGCGAAAACGTGGGATAGGAAAGAGACGTCACTTTCCCAAACATGCGAGGATTCCGAATTTCTCAGTAGTAAACCATTCCAAAATATGGCTGATAAAAAAACCAATTAAGTATAAACTACATCGTACCTGGGATGGCCCGCCCAGCCTATCTATAAAATGAGGCAAATCAAGATGGAGAATGTTGGTGATACCTATCTCTATTTACCTAATGGGCCAATTATGAAAATCTTTCCTTGTCTAAAAAATATTATATTTGATGTTAGGAATATACACCAAACCCAACACCAATGTCAATGAACTGGAAAGAGAAAGGTATCCCCCACTATATAGCCACAGATATAGCTATCTTTGGACGCACTGAAAGAGATGACAAATACCATATCCGACAACGGTCAGTTCCATTCCAGGTACGTGTAGTTTATAGTTCATTGTAAAAAACTAGTCACAACCTATGACCTATTTTCGTCCTTTACTACTTTATAAAAAAAGAAAGGATAGGTATAATCATTGGTGAACTCTAGCTACCTAGTAAAATGATCCTAGAATGCTTCATCATTTCTAAATGTAGCAATAAGCGCATGAATGCTTCAGGCACATGAAGATGGACTATTGTGTTTCTTTTTTTTTTTTTCTTTGGTCAACCCTTTTTGCTAGCACAGCCCCCCCCCCCCAAACCAAAATCCTGAATACGCCAATGTCTCAGGTACTCCTTGCATTGTCTATCAGTGGTTTTATTTTTATCAGAATAGTACCTATATTGTGTATTTAGGTGGAAAAGTGACACATTCTCGGCCGTAAGACAGAGACGGCAACATCATTTTTAAAAATTCATAAAGATTGAATTTTTGAATAGATTCGAAAAATTTGGCGAAAATGTCCTTATTAACATCTGTACCTTTCATTTATATGATTATCTGATAATTGTTATTTCATGAAAGTTCCATATTATTCAGCATTACTGGAATCACTTTCCTGGGCGTGTTTATAATAAGGGGAAAAAATGGGTTTAACAATCTGACATCTATTTGTTTTTATATTTCATTTAACATAATTTCAAAATGGAATATAGAAATTGCCAAGGCGGTACCAAACCCAAAACCGTGGTAGTACCAACAATAGACTTGAGGCGTTTTCTCGCGTCTCAAATGTTTCAAAACATTTTTCAAAACTGGTTTAAGTAATGTCACCATGACGTCACAATTTCTCGGCGCGAGAAAATGGTTTGAAAGTGACGTCATGGGTTTATCGCGAGAATGTACTGTTTCGAAACAGTTTTGAACCAGTTTCAAAAAAGTGGACGCGAGAAAACGCCTCTGATTTGTAATAGCAAATCGTTTCAGACACCAGTGTTGGGTTTGGATACTTGGTTGGTGAGTTGGTACTACAAAAATTGAATTAATAAAAAAACTGATTACATCACTATATCTGTTTTTTTTATAGGCTTCAGATGACATTCTCTCCAATGCCATCGATAAAGCCTTAACCGCCGGTTACCGACACATCGATACAGCACATGCATATGAAAACGAAAAAGTCATTGGAGACGTTATAAAGAAATGGATAGATTCGGGAAAGTTAAAAAGTATGTTATTTTTTCATGTTATACATCAATACTCACCTTATATTTTTATAGGAGAAGACATTTTTCTCACTACCAAACTACCTCCAGGAGGTAACAGACCAGAGGGCGTCTCTAAATACTTGAAGAGATCATTGGAGTTACTCCAAATGGATTATGTGGATCTTTACTTGGTGCACACTCCATTCGCTTTCAAGGATATCGAAGGCCAATTGCACCCGTTCACTGCTGATGGAAGAATCGATATGGACGTTAATACTGATCACATTGCTATTTGGAAGGTAAGATTCACTTGTCACTGGGTAATCGGGTAATATATAAATGTATCAATTTTTAATAGGCCATGGAAGAACAAGTTGACAAAGGTCTTACAAAATCCATCGGAATATCAAATTTTAACAAATCACAAATATCGAGAATATTAAACAATGCGAGAATCAAGCCGTGCTCTTTACAAATCGAATTGCACGCTTACAACCAACAAAACGATTTGGTCCAATTTTGCAACAAGAATAATATTGTCGTGACTGCTTACTCACCTTTGGGAAACCCTGGATTGAGCAGTTTCTTAACCAAATTTGGTCAAACGTAAGAATCATATTCTTTCAAGAATGTTATCATTTTAAAAGTGGTGTTTTTCAGAGTTAATCTTCCAAATGTAATGCTAAACCCAACAGTGCAAGATTTGGCGAAAAAATACAATAAAACCGCAGCTCAAATTTTACTTAAGCACACTGTTCAGAGGGGCATTTGCGCCATCCCGAAATCCACAAATCCTGAAAGATTGAAGCAGAATATTGATATTTTTAATTTCACCCTGGACGATCAGGATATGGCTGCAATGAATAAATTGGATCAAGGTGTCCGGTTGCTGGATTTTTCGTTGTTCAATGGGTAAGTTGGTGTGGGTGTGCAGAATACTGTGAAAAATCAACTACCTATATTTTTTCAGGATTAAAGAACATCCAGAATATCCATTCCCAGAGCTTAAATAGATGCACATATAGCTCTAAAAAATATTTTATAAGCAAGATGTAACAATATATATTTTTTAACTGATAAATGGTAAAACAGGAATTATTTAAAATAACATTGGAAAGAAATAATTTTATTAATTATTGTTAAACAGTCTTTTGAGACAAAAATAAAAACAAAGTACAAAATTATTTGCTTTTTAATTAAATAATAATAATATATTATATATGTATATACAAAATTAAAATGAGAATTTATTTAACAATCGGAAAGAAAATAAATATGTGAGGAAAACTATGCTGCACTGGTTACTACAAAATTATTATAGAAACTAAACCTAGAAAAACAAAAAATTGTACCTAAACGTTTCATTAACTTTGATTTGGTGTAGCATGATACACACCTGACCAAAATTAAATGAAACGACGTGTATAGCCAAGACTTAATTTTTTTAGCATATTATATTTTATCCATTCAATTATTATTACTATTGTTGAAAATACACAAATATAGTGAGTTAAAGCTTTTTTAAGAAAAAAAATATCCAAAATAATAGACACAGTTGCTTGTTGTAATAATAATTAGTGAGCTAAATATTAAATTTCACAAAACAATAACTGTTTAGGAAGAAGATAAGGTTATACACCCTGATTCATGTAGCCCGTGCATTAGAAGTTTTCCAGTTCGCAGGTGGATTAATAGAAATGGCATCTAATCCACCTGCAAGCTAATGCACAGGCTATGAAAATCACCCTGTATAGTTTGTTCAGCTGCTAGGATAGACTTTCTTCTATCTCATATTTAGCGTTATTAGGTAAGCTGAATAGAGAAGCAAGATATAGGTAGGCAAAATGTCTACCACAATTGAACAAACTTCACATAGGTACTTATACGTCTGGCAAGTATCTGGAAAAAATGGCTTGCAAAAAAACACTGTTAATAAATTGTAGATAACACTTCAAAATAGATTTATTAATTACAAAGCACTAAAAACTAAGAATTGTCTGTCCAATAATGCTAGTCTATTTACGTATGTGTTGCATCTGTATTCAGATAGAAGATCATATGACGTGAAAGGCAGCAATACGTAGGTTATTCGACCTTCCGCAAATCCAGAAAAAATTGCAAAGCTTACCATTATGTGGATATTGAATTGGATTGTCAGTCAGTATAAAGTCCTTAACTTTTCAGAAAAAGAAAACGATTTTGGAAGATTTTTTTTTGCATCTTTTTTTAGATTTGCGGAATTTCGAATGACCTATATGGGCTCTTAAACTACCTATATGCTTAGACGTCTATCACGAGCTGTCGTCACATCGCTGGCAAGTCTCTGCTTTAATAGTCCAGGAGGCAATGAAATGTTTTAGCACTTATTTTCCTAGCTGGTCTATATTAAATAGTTTGTTCTCTTGATGATACAAAACGAGCATTTCTGAGTCTGGCTAAAATTTTCGGATGGGTTCACAAGATCAATGAAAAATACAAGTACACTCATTTTCCCAGTCATAAATATTTCACATTTACTGCAATAGAACATAAAGTATATGAAAATAGCAATTTGGATTATCTCAGATAGTGGAAAGTGAGTCTGGCTGTAAATTTTCGGATCTTTAATTTTTCACTTGCCAGACGTAACATCCATACTCCCAGATTAGTCGGACTATTTTTTCACGTAACTTCAGTATACCTCTCATTAGTAGAGCTATTTTTATCACTGGAAAAAAAAAGGACCGTGCATTCGTGAGCTCTGGCGCATTTTGCGCCTCAACCCATCGGAAAACCTTCCTAAAAATATATGAGTTTTGCTTAGAATTACTAACCCTACACTGGGAAAATAAGTACCGAAAATCGGCACTGCATCTTAGAGTATAACGTATGTCAGAAAATGTGGCATCTTGTCATTAGCACTTGGACCATATTCAAGGTTATTTGAGAGAGGTAGATTGCCTGATAACTTTTAGAACGTCATCTAGGGTGCCTCACTATAATGCAAATCTCCATAAGGCATCTCACATGCGTCATCGAGTTACCCATTATCAGACAACCTATAAACTATAGGAACCTTGGACCATATTAAACGAAGGAAAAAGGATACTATCTTATAGACCGGTGCATAACGACCATTTTTTTAAAACGATTTTCTCCCGTCTGCCATTAAGTGTGGTTATTCTTCATGCAATAAAAAGTGGAATGGCTGAAATTTCAAAGAGCCCCGCGTGTGACAATACAATGATAAGCTAATTTGAAAATGTAATGAAAAGGGGAGATTTGGATTAATATTATCCCGTCTGCCACACATTGTGAAGGTAATTCAAACAAAAATGAGTACAAGGAAGCTAAACGGCGGAAACCCTAGGTTAGTATAAAGTGTCATATAACTAATTTCAAAATGTCGCCAAAATTGGACATGTGGATCAACGAACTTCCATCTGCCAAATTAAATTCATGTTGCATTTACGATGTATGAGATCAATAAGGAAATGGCAGACAATCTCGGTTGTCATAATAATATTTAACAATTTTTGAAGTTGCATCAAAATGCTGAGATGTTGAAACAATTTTCTCCCATCTGCCATTCGGAAGATAAGTTTGAAATGCAAAGTAAAATCCAAGAAATGTATTGGCAGATGTATCCAAGATATATTAACAATTGGCAGAAAAAATAAAAATGTCAAAATTTTTCAAAGTTGAGATCAATTTTTTCCCGTCTGCCAATAATCTATATTAAATTAGCTACTACTAAAAGCTTAAATTTCGACTGGCAGAAATTGCAGGCTGATACAAGTTCTTATAATTGATGAACAAAATTGGAACAAAAATTGTTCATATGATATCATGAACGTTTTCAACCTGTTTGCCGTTTGTTTCAGTGAAATGTAGTTATGAGAATATGCATATTCTCAATATAGCAGAAACCGCAATGAGCTACATACGTTGCACAATAATTATTGTTGAATTGCGAAAAATGTTTATGTGTCCAAACAACTTTCTCCCGTCTGACAACCGGGTAATTAAAATTAAAGTAGCTCTCAAGATACCTAAATATGATAAGGTAGAACAATAAAAAATTGTATCTTTAGAAAAAAAAAATGTTTTAATCATCAACATCATCAAAAACAGCACGTCATTATTATCATCAGCATCATCATTGTCGTTTTCATTGCTATCTATCACTTCAGAGTCACTTCTATCACAACTGATGTCACCTGGACGGCGATTCTCGAATTGTGTGATCCCTGTTCTCATAGGAAAAGTACGTGCGGTTTCTATTAAAATCTATTAAGACGTATTCTCGAAATTAGGGACCGTTCACTTCCTATGAAAATTGAGAGAATCTTATTCTACTACTTTTTTTTAAGAGAACGTCTGTTCTCGGGAGAACCAAACGTCAAACATGCGCTTTTTGTCAATTTTACAGTCATCATCATGGTGTTAGAGAATTTTTGCACTTCTTATTTTGCCATTCCGCTGTGGTTATCGTTATACTGAGTATGCGCAGTAGCTAAAAATGTTCGTTGTACTTATCAACCACAACGAGCGGCGTTATTTAAGGAAGAATAACCTTGTGCTTATAGCTATACCTATGGATATGGTAAAACTGTATGGATGCCACATTGAAGAAAATTGAATAGATATCATCCCGTTTTAATAAATAATTAATAAAAATCATCTGAAATTTGAGAAAATACAAATACAAATAAGTGCGGATTATCATTTTGATGTGATGAAATTGGTTTACATCTGAAGGCGCAGGCGCAGTTCATGGCCCAAAGGTAAAATAGACATAACGGAAATATGTGAACGTTTGGCGATGCAAAATCTCTGATTTTGAAGGTCGTGGTAATCGTTATCGCCGATAAAGTTAAACATACTTGATCCAAAAACTGCTGTTATTTTAAGGGGTGCAAGTGGAAAATACGGTCTAATACGAAAACGTGGGAAACCATGGCTAGCTGCGGTTATAGGAAGAATTCTTGTACTGAATGATCTACTAGATGCAGAAGAGCAAGAAGAAAGGCCTTTAGGAGATTTCACAGAAGAGAAAATCCCTTTGATTTAACGGATAATAAATTTATAAAACTATTTAGATTAAGCAAAGATCTTGCTCGAAATTTAATTGATTTATTGACACCTTTTATACGGACTCCAACTAAAACTTCATCATTAAAAACTGTGGTAAAATCGGAGGTAAATTTTCCACTTTGAAGTTTCTCATTTTACCTTAAAAATTCAATGAGCATTTCTTTTTGAGTATGATTTATAGGTGAACATCTTGATTTTTCCAAATTCATTTTCCACAAAACAGCACGAAAATAAAAATTGTAAAATAAAATGATTAATGATTTGATTTTCAGTAAATAAATAAGCAAAGAATGAGATTACGTCCCAAAACACAAATAAAACAAACCCCTCGTTTGTATTCTAATCGGACTTTACCGATGAGTTAGCTATCTTTGTTTAGTGAATGGAAAATGATAATGACCGACATAGAATGGTGGAAAATTTGATGAGAATGAAAACGCAGGGATACCGGTTTTCTTCTTTCTCATGACATTCGTCCTTTTAACGCACCAAAATTGTGGCTAATTCTACATATTACTGTTGGCAACAACGCATTATTATTTGACAAGTTTTCTCTCATTCTATCATAATCCTATACGTTCGAGAATACCAACTTTGGCATCAAGAGAACGAGCGTGCGATGTGATCTCTCACTTCTCCTAGGGGAACGTTCACTTCTACCAAATTCGAGAATCGACTACCTGTTCCATTATTATCATCATTACTGCCGTCATCCAAATCTGATAGATCGCCAAAATCTTCCTTTTTATTAATTTCTTCTTCATTTTCATCCTCATCAGAAAAACCTATGTGTGATAGGCTTTGAAAAAAAATTATAACTTGTATGTGAGATTTCAAACATTTGTACATAAGCAGTCATTTTGCCTTTTGATAGGTATTCAGTTTGATAGTAACTCTATTCAATCAAGTTAGCAGACGGGAGAAAATTGCAATTTAACAACCATATGTGCAACTTATGTAACTTATTGCGGCTTCTGCCATATTGAAAATATGCATATTCTCATAACTACATTTCACTTAACCAAATGGCAGACGCTCATCATATAATAGATATTTATTTTATTAGGAGTATAAGTAATACCTATGTGACGCCCATGGAAGTT